GTTTTGGGACCCCACTGTGGGTCCCGACCCCAACTTTGGGAACCACTGCTCCAGACCATTCCACAATCCTATACCCTGGATTAAAGAGCCTCTTTCTTTCAACCTAACATCATAGACCTTAGTTAAATCCAGGTGGACACTTTTTTTGTATTTAGGAGAAGGCATAAGCCGGTAACCGGTTTTAGGTATACTACAGATTTAATACTCCTTCACACCAGGTGGACTCTGTTCAAATGGGCAGGGTATGCCAAAGATATTTAACTTRGTTTGGTTTGGTTCACATTCACATTGCACTTTGTCYCTTCAATACTGTGGAACCATGGTATTTTGCTCATACAGTCAGAATTTCATACCAGCCCATGCCTCGTTAGGAGAAAAGAAACACGATGCAGGAGCATCGTTGTCTACTATCATCTAAAAAAAAAGAGAAAAAAATTAATAATAAAAAAAAGAAAACAGTAGTCCTCATCAAAAGAGTCTAAACAATYAAGGCACCGAATTCATCCGCCTATGTTTTCTCCTCCTCACACTTCCCTTCACTCCCCCATGCTGGGAGCAGAGCAGTGGGTAAAAATCGTCTTTGGAGCAGGAGGAAACATGCTGTGACAGAACAACCTCACACACACACACACAAACAAACACAAACTGTGCACAGACTTCTGCTCGCAGCTTCTTCCTGAGAGCTGCCTATAGCAACATGAACAAAGAACAAGACCGAGTCTCCTTTGACCACCCAGTCTGCTCTGCTTGTCTCTGACCTTTACCGTACTCTGGAGACTCTGGCCAGACTAAAAGCACTTTGTGAGCGTTTGTGTGAATCCATGTTTGTGTGCAAAAAATATATATATAATAAAATAAAAATCTGCCAAAACGTGTTAAAACCAACACAGTGACTTCAAACGTGTTGAAAGAGTGAGATGCTCTTCATCTCAGCAGCAGACACAACCTGATGTCCTTGCTTGAAAAAACAAATAAAATAAACRTATAACTTGTAAATGTGCAACTGCAGAAGATTAATTTTGGTATCAAACTGTGAAGCAAATGAACTGAGTGWAACATAGATCAAACACTAAAATGATAAAATACATTGTTTATAGAATCAACAAGCATCTAATCCCAGAACAACCCCAAGAGGATTGCCAAAGTAGCAGGGTGGGAATAAAGCTCACTGCAAAACAAAAGAATGCAAAATAACAATGCTCCATTTTTTTGCCTAGGTAGGTCATTCTGTTTATCATTAAGCTCTCAGTTAAMGCATAAAAGAACCTTGACTATTCTAAAATAAGCAAATATGACAAATGAAACAGAACATAATATCCTGGATAAACTGAAATAAAAACACGTTGAGTAAATAACAGATCTCTGTGATCACTTGCTTCGAGACGAGGCAAGGTTAAAATGTGATCAGGCGCTCATACGGCTGGAAATTCTACGCATCTCATTACATTTTCATTAGGCTCAGTGCTCCATCATTTTCCTCTGCTGTTGCCCATGCTGTTGTCACTACTGTTTATGCCAGGCGCCGATGATTAATGTTCACAATGGAACTTGATGACAAAGAATTCTTTGCGAGTTTAAAACATATTATTCAGCTCTTGGATTTCCACAGCTGAACAACAAATTTCTTTCATTTAATTTAAAGCCAAAGAGCTTACCTTATATGCGTTTRACCCACAAAAAGTGTCTTAATGAACTGTGTGGACGTTAATAGACGTAGGTGATGTGAATTACCTCTGCTGGCTCGATCCACGTGCTCCAGGTCGTCAACAAACTTCAGCACATCTGGAAATTGCTCCTCACATATTTCAGCTAGGAAGTGAAGTAAAGTTGTCTTCTGGTCTGCTGACTTTGTGTCCTTTAGCTGTAAAACAAACACAAACAGTAAAGCCTCTCCTTTCATACAAAAAAAATGTTGCAGATAAAATTCATCAAAAGAATAATASATTGTGTCTTTCTGGCTCCATTGCACTCTAGATCTTAATGTGATATATGATTTGCTTTWATGAATAATCCAAAATATAATGCTATTAGGAAGATTCATCCTTTTTTTAATAAGACACAGTGTAGATTGAAGAACTTGACGTTTATACCAGCTGCAGAAGCTTTTGTTATGCTGTGCTACCACTCAGTTTAAAATCTGTATTGATTCATTATCACACTGTTGCAAGCACAGAAGTCAGTAAATAAATATGTTTTCCCCACTGCGTTGAAGCAAATTTTCTATTCAACCAGGACTTGTTTTCATATTTGAACYTTGCCAGTTCTAAACTGTAATACTTTTATGTTTAAGGAATGCAATACATGCAATCTTCAGGGAAAAAATGTCTTGAAATAAGTTAATATTCACTTTCTCCTGAGTTTAGAATTGGTTTGTTAATAATCACTAATCACCTTGAAACTTGCACTTTACATATGTAATGTGATGAGTTTCATCAACAGCGGACAAATATTTGAGCCCAAAACTGTCCCAAATCATCCCCACCACATATRCCAAGCCCTAAAATATCATGAGACATTTTACAACATACTAGGTGATGTGCATTTCCTGAAGAAATGCAACTTTTTCATTTATTTTATCATTACTATTTTACTTTATRAGGCTAGCAATTTGACTTGTGCTTCAAACAGCTAAGACAGAAGACATGGCATGTGTTTATGTTTACTGAAAGGCTAAGAAAAAAACTTAAAACAGAACAAGTTGTGTGGTTTGGCCTGCTGTCTGCTTCAGTGCCAATACCCATAATAAAAAACAACATTACAGATTTATTTAGAATTTAATTGCCTGCTTTGATATAAGGTGCCCATCTGTTTTTACTTTACTGCAGGGAAGAATGCCATGTGAAGGAAAATATAGTCAAGAAAAGATATTCATGAAATTCATAATGTTAATAAAAGCTGTATGGTTTTATTCCTTTTTTTGATGGTGATGGTGGTGGAGGGTGCTGTCAAACAGAAGCTGAATATCTCCCACAGGTGATCAACAAGGCTGACAGCCGATGGCTGCAAAAGACTAGAAGACTCACATCATTTTCATAGTCATCAAATGTTTCAGTGACCCCTCGTGACCTGTGAAGGGGGGCACTGTCATCCTGGAGGAAACCAGTTCACTCAGAATAGAAATATTTCATCACAGGAGAAATCACTCAGAGGAATTTTATATTGATTTGCAGTGAACCCCTTGCCCTTAGGGGATAAGTGGACCCAAAGCAGGTTGTCTCACACACACAGACACACATACACACACACACAGACACACACACAAACAGAATAACAGAAGCATCAGTTCTTTTAACCGTAAGGGGCTGGCATTCAGGTGTCTCCTTTGATGTAGCACCTTTATGTTTATATAAATGCCTCATTTTTAGTTCCTGTTTCCCTTTCCACAAAGGAGAACAAAGAGAACGATTTTCAGAGCAGATCCGTATTTTATAGCAGACAAAAAAAAGGTACGACTTCAAATGTTTTGCAGCAATTTTACAGACAACATAAGTTGGCATTATCTGCTGGGTATTAGACAACAAGGAAACACATGTTTGAGCACTGGCTTTATAACTGCTAGTGTTGACAATGCAACAGATGATTTTATGTCTCGTGCTCAAGCAGCAGATGCAATTTCACAATGTAATGACCCCCTGCACTCACTGCCTCTCTCTTTTTCACCCACACACACAACAATCTTTCAATTTCTCTGATAAATTCCCATCATTGCTCTTTTACAGTCTAATTCTGCGACATCTCTCAGTTTTCCTGCTGAGCATCCCTCCTGTGGAGTGTGTTGCTGTGTATCTCTCTAGGTGATCTATTGGTAGACAGCAGTGTACTCAGACCCGCTGGGTTTAATCATGTTTGCATTATCTCCTCTAATCAAACATTCTCATCTCTCTTTTCATTCCTGTTTTTGCCTCTTCCATTTTTTGGTTCCACAAAAAGCTTAAAGTACTCGCTCACAAAAGGTCCCTGTCTGAATTTAGATGGATGGTAATCATAGATGACAATGTAAACATTTTTTTTCTCTTATTCCAGCTGGGCTGGGTGCAATTTTCCTGTGCTGTGGAGTGTGCCACAGAATTAAGTTGTCAAACACTGGGGCAGCCATGAAGGTGATGCCTTCCTCTAGATATTGTGCCTGTGACATCAACTCGCCATCATCAGACAACACATCAGCACCAGAAGAAAAGAATCGACACTCGGGAAGAGTAGCGTCAAGCTAAGAGCAAAACTTAATCCATTCTAGTCGACGATTGATTGATTATATTATTGTTAGACTGATGCGTCTCGTCCGTCAGGGATGTAGATATTCCCCTTTGACACAAACGCTGCTGTTTATATAAGCATAAGCATCCAATTCAAACAGGGCAAAGAGGTGGCAGTGACAAATGGCTTGGTGGTTGTTACTGTGGAAACTGCAGCACATGTGCCAACAGCTGTAATTTAACCACTGCAAGAGTCTTTCATGCAAAGAAAACATCTTGTTGTCATTGTCGCTATCACGCAGAGAAACTTAGTGTTTGGGCTTCACGACTCAACCTCCACAGTACATACCACGTACAGTTGGGTCCATATGTATTTGGACAGAGACATTTTCCTAACTTTAGTTCTATAGATACCACAATGAATTTTGAAAAAAGCATTTCAGATGCAGAGTTCAGACTCTCAGCTTTAATTCAGAGGGTTGAAAAAAATGATAGAAATTGCGTGGAACTAAATCTTTTTTTCAGAAAGCAAACCCTTCGTTTCAGGGACTCAAACGTTACTGGACAAATTCAATAGTTGTCAATAAAATGATTGTAATGTTTTCTAATGTCTAGTACTTGGTTTAAAACCTTTTGTTGGCAATGACTGCCTGAAGTCATGAACTCATGGACATCACCAGACAGTCTGTTTCCTCCTTTTTAATGCTCTGCCAGGCCTCCACTGCAGCAGTTTTCAGTTGCTGTTTGTTTGTGGGCCTTTCTGTCTGAAGTTCATTTTTTTACAAGTGAAATGATCAATTGGGTTGAGATCAGTTTACTGACTTGGCCTTTCAAGAGTAGTCCTCTTCTTTGCTTTAATAAAACTCCTGGGTTGCTTTGGCTTTATGTTTTGGGTCATTGTCCATCTGTAGTACGAAATGACGATCAATCAGTMTGGCTGCATTTGGCTGGATCTGAGCACACAGTATGGCTCCGAATACCTCAGAATTCATTGGGCTGCTTCTGTCCTGTGTCACATCATCAATAAACACTAGTGACCCAGTGCCACTGGCAGCCATGCATGCCCAAGCCATCACACTGCTCTGCTGTGTTTTACACATGATGATGTGCTTTGGATCATGAGCTGTACCATGCCTTCACCAGACTTTTCTCTTTCCATCATTCTGGTAGAGGTTGATCTTGGTTTCATCTGTCCAAAGAATGTTCTTCCAGAACTCTGCTGCTTTTTTAGATGTTTTTAGCAAAGTCCAGTCTAGCCTTTTTATTCTTGATAATTATGAGTGGCTTGCAGCGTGCAGTGAACCCTCTGTATTTACTTTCATGCAGTCTTCGCTTTATGGTAGATTTGGATATGGATAATTCTACCTCCTGGAGAGTGTTGTTCACTTGGTTGGCTGTTATAAAGGGGTTTATATTCTATGATCCATCATTGTTGTCTTCTATGAATGTCCAGGTCTTTTTGCATTGATAAATTCACCAGTGTTTTCTTTCTTTCTCAGCATTTACCAAACTATAGATTTTGCCACTTGTAATATTGTAACAATTTCTTGGATGTTTTGTTTTTTCCTGTTTTTTTGCAACTTAAAGATGGCTTGTTTCACCTGCTTGGGGAGCTCATTTGATTGCATGTTTCTTCACAGCAAAATCTTCCAAATGCAAGCACCACACTTCAAATCAACTCCAGACCTTTTATCTGCTTAATTCAGAATAACATAATGAAGGAATTGCTCACATATGCCAATGAAATATCGGGTCAATTGTCCAATTACTTTTGGTCTCTTTAAAGCAAGATGGGCACATGTTAAGAAGCTGGACTCATAAACCCTTCATCCATTTTTACTGTGGATACACTCAAATGAAAGCTGAATGTCTAGACTTTATATGCATGTCTGATAGATAACTATAACCTGTATATCTTTCAGTAAACACACAAAAAATAAAAACTTTGTGTCAGTGTCCAAATAGGTTGGTCCTTCACAATACATGAGCTTTCAAAGGGACTGCAGTCACAGACTCAGTTATCTGTATTGAAAAGGGAAATAGAAATCAAACACATTTATTTATTTATTAAGTTTGGATAGAAGACTGGTGGGTAAAGTTTGCCTTGTGGTGATGATGATGATAAAATATGAAATGAGAAAAATAAAATCACAGCAGCCACTGGGCAGCACAGAGGACACGGGAAATAAAATTCTACTTTTAAAAATCAAACATGCCTTTACAGCAGTAACACTGATGATGACTCTGATATCTTCTTTTTAAATAAACAGTCTGACCAACACTGGATATTTAGATACAAGTTAGCATCCCTGTCTCACTGAAAATACATTAAATTAAATCCCTCAAAGCCAAAACACTTTGATATTACAGTTGGGTGACCAAGTATTTCTTCTATGTGTGCGTTTATTTGCATTTAAATTGGCCAAGGTGCTTTGAGCATGCTCCACAAATGTGTTGTTTGACCCCCAAGTAAGTGAAAAGCTAAAAAACAAGAGAAGAACAGGCCAACATAGGGAAATGAAAACAACGCCCAATATGAGGTGATACCACTTCTTGTAGCTAAAATGGACAGATTTGGTAGGTAGATTGTCCTCTTACACTTTAATAATGAGACTTAATGAGACTGAATAAAGCACTTTAATAATGGTTTCCATCTACACTACAGAGATGCTCTGGTGATGCCAAAATTTTTTGCTTAAATGTTCATGTATACAGACGACAGCACAGTTAAAGACAGATACAGTTCAGTGAATAAATAGTTTTATCTTTTAAATTACTGCATGTTTTATACTACATATATTTTACACTGCAAATGCATATTTTTGCTTGCACGTTTTCCATATTTATGGTTGATTTTAGGTGGTGCAGCTTTTTCAACATTTACATTAATTCGATTGAGATAACATAACTTGTCTAGCAATAATTATYAATCAGTTTGAGTGGTGAAGCTGTTTTACAATTTGCATTATGTTATTTTGCACAACAAAGTTTTTAAATTTTTTTAATATTTTTTTATTTTTTATTTTTTTTTAGATGGAGCAGCTTTTCTAGCATTTTAGGCCGGCGGCCGCACAATTTTTCTGGTTTCTGCAATAAAATAACTAATTTATTTTAGACAGCACATCTTTCCCTAAATGTACCAAAATTTATTTTAGGTGTTGCAGATTTTAAAATATTTACAATAATCGCCACGGTCGGCTTGTAGTTTCTCTCTTCGTAGAGAAGCTGCCAGCCCACGAGGAAGTACAAAAACAATACAGTGAGAGAAGAAAACCAAAATGGCTGTCATTAAAAAAAATTTTTTTGAATACTCTACAATTTGAATAAATCCTAAACCTTTGTTAGAGAAATTTTTTTTTGATTTGACGCCAAATTTTAATTGAAGACTATTGATCTATATCATCTGTGAGCATTGTAGAATCAGGCCTAAGTTACCAGAGTGACTATGAGTGGACACTTTTTTCCCAAGTTTACTAGTACAGCAGTTCAGTTATAAACACAGTGTAGAGAATCAATACAAGAAAAAAAGTTTTATCTCACAAGTTTTACTGAACCATTGTCACTGGAGGGAGAAGAGACAACTTCATGGTATGTAAAAAGTCAAAGGTAAGGTGGACATTTCWACCCTTACCTTGCAAAGAGAACTGAGGTCAAAGCCATAAGACTGGGCATTTCGAGAGCCTGCATTCATGTAATTCCCCAGCAGCAGTACAAGCTCCAGCAGGCGGCCAAAAGCCTGGCTCTTCCTGACCTCTTCGCACGCTGCATTTACTGCCAGGATGTCTGGACGCAAATTGTTTACATGCTCCTCAAACTGGAGTCGGAAGAGGATGTGGCTGAGACGAGGTCGCAGGCGCTTCACGCTGCTCATCTGTGGGAAGTGGAAAACGTAGACATTCATATGGAGGGGAAAAAAACTATAAGAAATCAGAAGGAAAGCAGGGGAAAATATGATAAAGAAAGAAACCACTTCAGAGAAGAAATTCAAACTTAAAACATTTACAATCACATTTTTGGCACTTCCAGCATTAAGCCGATCTAATTTAGCAGACATTTATGCAACTGGCTTGTAGGAAAGTGTTGCTAGGCAGTAGTAATAGATGCTGGCATTGATCTGATTTGAGCCCCGAGTCTGCTAAGTTAATTCTGGAGTTAGCGTCCATATAGGCCTGGCAGTGGAGGGGGTGGAATATACAATAGGCTGCCTTGGACTACCACTTTCACACAATTAGAGAAAATTGAAAAATATTGCATTGCGCCCAAGACCTGGCCACAACCATAATTGTGTATGTGTAGGGGGTGGGAGGGATGGGGTGCAGGTTCCAATTGTCTAGTTCAAACAACAGCTGGCTGTGCGGTTTGATGTCCTCCATCGAGAGTTTAATTATACCTGCAGTAATCTTATCAAATAACTATTTCAGGGAAGGACTGAGCYAGTGTGTGAATGTGTTTGTATGAGAAAAAATAGACCACAAGAAAAGATTATCGAACAAGAATAACAATAAAGTTGTGCAAAAGAATAAAGTACATTGCTGAAATGAAGCCTAGAGACTGAATAAAATGGAATAAATACATTACTGAGACAAGATAATCAGAAAGAGAAGAAAGCAAACAAACATTTTTGCACTTGCAGTGAAAAACAATGAAACGTTCTTGTTTTCACTGGGACGCTGCACTGACAACACAAGCAGACAAGTTCTAATATGAGAAAATGAAGCGTAGMTTTAAAAAAATGTAGCTCGTGTCATGATTTAATGAGGTGAAATAATGAGAGAAAAACAGTTCTGCTGGTGTAACCTACATATTTCATAAACTTTTGAAATGAWTTTTTTAAAAATATGTACAATGTAGTAAAAAAACAAAAACCTGAGGAGTTTTGGGGAAAAAAAACATGGATAATAAATGAAAATAGATCAAAACAACTGTTTTATTACATTTGGTGCACAATGTTCCCATGATGTGATAAATTTGTGTTTTAGTTCATTCATTGCACAAGATAATTGTACACACACACACACACACACACACACCGGTGCAACAGACCAGCCTGGGCCCTCCTAATGAGGACAGAATTCCCCAGAAAACAGAATCTGTAAGATTTTCTTGGACTGGTTTTGCCATACATTTCTTTATCTAATAGCTCGTGCTTAAAACAACCATTATGAGTACACTTCAGGGAATAAACAGCCTCTCTTCCTTCCCCCTTTAAGTAGTTTCCATTGTACTAAAAGATGCGCAGCAGCAGCTTTACTACACCATGTTTCTTTAATATTTAGATTCATGATCGTAATAAACTACATTTTATGTTCCTACTCTGGGCTAAATGAGTAAATCAGGAAAACTGGAAGAGATAGACTYCTGGACTGGTGGGTCAGGAGAAATAAAAAGTCTCAAAGTGCACCTAAAATATTATGTCTGAGTATAGTGGATAAGGTATTAGATAAGCCTAAAAACCAAGAATTAATGATGGAACTAAATCATTAGAAGGGTTGCTGGATTAGCTGGCAGGGGTGGTCTATTCCTGTGTTCAAGCTGAAACTAAAACTCATTTATTAGTGCAGAGTCCTACAGGTTAGAGATGGTTAGTGTGTTACCACCTGACCCAACAGACCAGAGCCTCTCTGTGCTCCTGGGCCTAATCAATTACAAATTAAGCCCTGCATAAATAAAAACAATAAGAATTAACCTGAAAAACAACTGGAGTCTTTCAGCAAGGCAAATGTGCATAAAGAGCAGCTATGAGTGTGTGAGAGGCTAATTTCTCGTAATGACAAAGGTTAAGGCTGATTTTACAATCTTTGCAAATCCTTACAAATAACAAGGCAGAAATGATATCCAGTCAATACTGTATGTTAAAGATCTCACAGCCCTAAAAATTACAATGCTTGTTTTTAGCTCTCACATCTTAATTGGGTTGGGGTTGGATTGAAAACAGTTAAAAGGTTCTGCAGGTAAGATGTGGTGCTATTGGGGCACATAGAAAAACACCCAACCTCACCCTTTTCATTCAAAGTCTGTTGGTCAAAATATAACGGCAAAGAAAAATGTGAACAACCTCTGGTAGAATGGTTTTCTTTTCRCCCATCTGGGTTAAGTAGAAACATGGAACTGCAAAGTGGCACAACAAGGCAGAGGGTGAAGAGCGCGTCCTTTAAAGCTTTTAGATAAATACAAAAACGACAAGATTTGACTTGAATGAAAGCAGTTTTAAGAATTCTTCAATTAGATACAAGAGTAAGGGAAATCATAAGACTGCACAACATATTGTAAATGTAAAGTCACACTAACTGTGAGCACAATATGKATATCACAAAGAGCTGCAATCAATCAAAGACTCATAGTTCAAGTCCCATGCATTGATGTTCTGCATGAATAGAATATATTTYGTCAATCCTACAGATTCTGAGTGGCCTTGATGCCGACATCATGACATAAGAGAAAGTAAAGAAACTGAAATTGATATTATCATTGTAAAATTAAACAACAATCTCAGACAAAGCAAGTTTGTCTAAGAATGCACTGTTCCTGAAATCAAGTAAAACASTTGTGATACAGATTTTCCCAGCTATTTAAATTATTATTATTATTATTAAGATATTCCCAGCTATATAAAAATGATGATTTATCAGGTTTCGCACAGATCCTGAGATGCATCAGGACATTTCGCACAGATTGTTTTTACAACMCATTTGTTTGAAGACTCACTACAGCCACACACTGAAACGTGCAGGACAGAGCTCAAATAAAGTGCGAGGGTGGTGGTTATTGAAAATAGCAACTCTGAAATGCATGTYTTTGCACAACAGTATGTTTGTTTTTTTCTTTGTGATGGCTTATTTCCAAAGCTGAAAGTGCAATCCTCACCGGACCAACGCAGGTTTAGTATATGAACAGTTTTTTCTCGGTTTGATTTCTCCCTGATGAACAATACAAACAAGCTCCAATCCCTCCTCTCAATCACCCTGATGCATCTTACTGGTATGAAAAAAGGAGACAAGAAGTAGATTATTGTATGTTTTTGTCAGTATCTCAGTCGCTTGAAAGACAAAATACATAAAAGCTGCCACACAGCTCAGGCATAAATCTAAATAAGTCTCCTTTGGAATGTCTTTTTAAGAAAGTGATGCAGACATAATAATGTAGCAAGAGCTGCTCTTTTAAAGTGCATAAATTAGTCCACAGGTGTCCTGGCTTTCCTCCTATCCTTTTAAAAAAACTGAATTTTAAGAAGCTCCTGGAATATGATAATCATATGAAAGTGCTCAGTGTGTGCATGTGTGTGTCTGAGTGTGTTTTTATAAAGACACTGAGAAAGAAAAGCACATGCAAAACAAGTTTACATTACCATAAAATTAATGAAGTAACAAACGTGTTTCCTAAACCTGTGCAGGCATAATTATGTTCTGTTTAACTATTCAATACAACACATTGTTGATAAAAAAAAAGAGTAGAACATAAGAAGTCTTTCAATAAAATGAATTAGAAGAGGAGGGGGCGACATCATGCCTGATTTTGAGTATTTTCCAACATATTCAACTAAAGGAGGTGCTCTGCTTGTGCCGGTTCTTAAACTTAAAGGCAGTTAGTTGGTGTTGAGCTGACAGGTTGTGTGTGTCTGTCGGTGTACCCGTGTGTTAGAAGATACTCACCACAACCCCAAACTGRTCAGGCTCTGACAAATTAGAGTACTCGTTTTTATATTTGGTCAGTGCGTTCAGCTGCTCCTGCTCTGGGAGGTGCTTTACAAGGTTCTGCAAAAAACAAAAGAAAACAATGAAATAAAAGAACAATTATGACACCAGGTGTGCTTTATTACATTAAATACACTTTGTTATATCACACCATGACTTGAAATCAACACTATGCTTAGATCAGCCAGTCTAAAAGAGAATGTCTTTTGTTTCTACGTCACACTGTAAAAAAGATGATTATTCTGTCAAATTATAGGGTTTGTTATCAATCATTTATTGCAACTCAAAAGAAATTATAGATATTCAGTAATTATAGATTAAATTCCCTCAGTAGGGTGATCAGGTGTTCTGCATTCTGCAGGACTGCACTCATTTCCCTTGTCTTACAAATCAACACATTTACAGTTTGATAAGTTTTCAGAAGTCAGTGCTGTATGACAAATGCTTATTAAAGCCTGGATTATCCAGTGTCTTTGAAGAAAGTGGTGAAGGTTCTCACAGAGGATTGCCCCGTATGGCCAAAAGTCTTTGGCCGTGTGTGTTTTTTGTTGAATCCAGGTGTTTAAGTCAAGGTTTGAGCTTGATTCCTGATCCACATGTATGAGCAGTTCCYAGGCACAAAGAGAGGACTTTCTACAAACGGTTTGGTATCGACCTCAGGCCAATCAAGCATTTCTGGGACAAACTGCAACAGAAATTCACATCCAGACTTTCTCCCCCAACTTCAGTGTTTGACTTTAAAATGTTACAGTATATGGCGAAAACTGGGGACAAAGTCCCACAGAAACACACTTGAGTCGAGCTGAACAATTTGGTATCAAACCTTTGTTGTGTAACTTTTTAAAAAGGAAGTATCAATAAAAGTTTCCAGAGGTCATCAAAGGTGTCTGTATGTGTGCCTGTGGGCAGTTTAGTTCAGCTGTTTGCCTACATGCAGGCTGTTTTCTTTGTGAAGAATCACATTGCTAATGTAGGCTGATGCATTGTCCCTCTGTAAACTCAACTATTCCACCGTTTGCTTTGATTTTGTAATTGTGSGGAGGGGCTGGCTGACATCTGGAAACTTCACTCAGGTCAGAAACACCCTCAAAGTTTGTAGAAAACCTTCCAAGAGAAATGGAAGTTATTAAGAGCTGCAAACTGGGAGCTAACTCCATACAGCTCTTCTTGGTGTGATGGTCAGGTGTGGACCAGTCAAACTGAGGACAAATGGGGTGAAACACAAGTTAACTTGTCACAATCTCTGCTGCCTTTACCTCCACCCCACTGGGAGCATTCAGAAACAGTGTGGTCCCAAAGAAACTAGGTGTGTTTCTGCAGACTCTCGTGGAAARGTAGCTGCAATGATTACTGGAATGAAAATGAACAAGCAGAACTGGTGTTTTGTGGRGCTTATCTAAAGTAAAAAATCAGGTTGGAGTTTTATGCACAACTGTAAAGATTTCTACGTCTATAAACAGAGAAAATATTTTGTTAGAAGCTACATGCTAAAGCAGAAAACYTAAAATTAAGAGGAGCATTTGTTTGGAGTTTAGGTGCTGAAATTATTCTGGTGATGAGATGAGCTTTATAATMTATAAAATAGAAAACAATGTACTTGAATTTTTATTTTTCTGCTTTTYTAATGCATATGCATTGCAAAACAAGAAAACTAAACTATGTTGTATGGGTTAAATGAACTAGAGTAGCTGAATTTGTTGGTTTGGATCTGGTCATTCTAAAAGAAAATCTGATGTTTTCTCAAGTGAATATTTCCCTCAAACAAATCCTGCTTCTGTGTGCCAAATATCAAAGTTTCCAGTTAAGTTTTGTTCCTGTTGCCTGGAGCTAAATCAAATAATTGCATGTCTAAAACTAACATTTTTTATTGATGCATCATAATTGAATTTGCTTTAATGACTATTAATTGATCAAATGAATTATTCAATGTGTACATCTGTAGCCAAGGTTTGTTTTTATTTGTTTCAACTCAGCTTGAAAACTGTGACAGCTGAATAATCAAAAGCTTTCAGAAGCATTCATTAACCTCTTCAACACAAGTTGGTGCAAAAAACATGAGAAAAAAACCCAAAGTTAATTTTTCTAACAGACTTTTAATACAGATGTGTTAATCTTACTATTTATACCAACATATTTTTATACTTTGTTATCTTATATGCTATGGATAATGTGTTTTATAATTATCTTGTGATAACTCCTGTTGGTAAAATTAATTGAATATCTAATCAAAAAACAAAATGCACAAAAGTAAATCGCACCCAATTACTTTGCTCTAATTATTTATTATTATTATTGTAGAACACATAGAGATGACAATTATCAGTGAATCAAAAATGTCCATTTTACTGCAGGTATAATTACATTTTTTTCTCATGGTGCCTATCTCCAGCGGTCACTGCTTGAGGGGCAGGGGACATCCTGGACAAGTCTCCACTTTGTCACAGCGACAACGAAACAACTAACCATCTACCCTCTCACTCACATCTATGGAGCATAGCTTTTATTTATTGTAAAGTAACAACAAAGAACATAAAAAAACCATACAAAAGTAAATTTAATTTATTTCTTTGATCCAAAGACTCTGAAGTTCATTTAAATGTACCTGGATTTTTTTAAATTACCTCTAAAATTAAGACATGTAACAAATGAACTTTCTTTTAAACATGTCCAGTAGTGAAAGGAGTGTTATATTTGGAAACAAACTATCTAATCCAATCATTTTGTACATTTAACAGGTAAAAATGGATTATTACAAGGGTTTGAGATTACCCTGGTGGAATTCCAGACAGAATTAGCACAAAGCTGAATGTAAACATCAACCAGTCAAAAATGACCAATGAGAGCTACAAACTAGAGAATCATGACTCACTTGTTTCCTGAATCAGGAATTCTTCATGTCCTACATCTGAAATATTTGTTCATGCAGTTTCCTTTAGCTGGAGGTGACAAACTGTAAAATCTGCTATCAAATCAATCTTTTTTCTTTACTTGTTTGTTGATAGATTTCCTGTGTTCTTTAAGCACCGTGCAGCTGTACTGTATGTTTACAGATGGCCAAAGCTGCGGCCTGGAGCTACACACAGTTTTGAGGTAGACAACCAATCAAGACAATAGGCAGGGGCTGGGGCCTGAACCTGACCAAGTGTGTAGGAGAAGAGCAGCACTAGAAATCCAATTCCAGCCTCAGGTGAAAAGTTGCTCGTAGTCAGACGAGTTCGTTTTTGACATTCGTTCCGTCTCGGAGTTGAGTATGACCAGGTTTACTGTAGGCGGCTCAAGGAATTCATCCACTTGAGTTGTGAACGAAACAGAAGTTTTAAGTATTTTTCACAACTTTGGGCAAAACTCGTCTTACCTGGATCATAGGTTCGGTGAGCTGCTCTTCATCCACCTCCACTATCATACGCCGGATTTCCTGATAAGGCATTCGAAAGGAACCCAGGAAGATGGCTAAAACAGAGAAAAATAAAAACTATGGTTTATAAAAGATAAAAGATAAATCAATGTCGCTTTAGTTTCAGACGATGGTTCATAAAAAAGGTTGAGAAGAAATAAAGCAAAGAATGATACAAAACACATCAACTCGAGACTAAATCAGACAAACTGTTTTGGGACATTTGTTTTTAAAATCAGAATGGTCTGGTAACGATGAGACCCTAAAGCAAATGATGCGATAAGGCGTGAAATTATAAAAGCCTGGCAGAATAAATTATTCTAGCCACTGGAATCCTCAAAAAAAGAAGAAAAAACTCTGGTAAGATGATGTAGATCTTGAAAGAAGATTGAAAATATCTAGAGACATCAGTTCCACATGATTTAAAGATGAACCAGAAATATTGCTCCAAGACAAATTCTGAAATCAGATTGAGCTTCTCCTCCTCCATCACTGTCACAATGTACAATATATCACAGCTAATTACACAGAAAAGTTGCTTTTCACTGCAACAGTTATACTTCACCCACTAGCAAGAGGCTCATTTTTCTCAATAAATAAATGTCTAGGTATAATTTTTTGCCTTGTTCATTCGTTTTATCTACTTTAAAACTTGTGTGGATATTGAACAATTTTCCTGGTTTTACAGTGTTGTAATGACAGAAACTTTAGTTCATCATAGCTCATTAGTTGGAATAAATTTGCACTTAATTTTAAGATTAAAGTATGAGTCTAACAAAAACAAAAGCCTCACATCCTCATTACCAACCTCAGCTAAAGCTTTTAGACCTTTTCCCCCGTATGGCCGAACGCAGAGTCAGCCTAGCTAATCTCACCTTTTATTTCATCCTAACTCCTGCCCTATCATTTCTGCTGCATGATTTATCACTGTTACTGGGCTGATTAGTCCCATTTTATTTTAATACATGAAACAAAGGTCAGAGCTCTCCTTGATATAAGCCAATGAGGTGCAAAGATCTGAGAGTGCTTAAGAGATCAGCAGGTTCCTCATTAATGCCGGGTGCTTTTAAAACGATCATTTTGAGGCCAGGCATACATGTGTGAATGCATCTGTGTGTGTGTGTGTGTGTGTGTGTGTGTGTGAGTGAGAGAGAGAGAGAGAGAGATAAACAGAGGGAGGCGGAGAACGAGGCAGAACGAGTGGGAACAGGACAGATCAATGTGATCATACCCTGTAGCCTTTTTTTTTCTTCTCTTCTTAATGGATCCTTAACATTGTTAATTAGCACAGTGTGAAGAGATGACTCATTGGCATCAATGGCTAGGTTCACATTAAGTGCTGTCTTGTAATAACTGCTATGGCAACGAGCAAAGGCGGAAAACCAAAGGCAAAAAGTCTCGACACCCCTGCTTTGTGTGTTTGTTGTTAATAGTACAGTAAATCCAAGATGAACAGATCTGCAGTCTTTTTTGAACAAAATTAGCCTATGATCACTGTTAATATTATAATGTTACACTTTGAAGTAATAAAGAAAAACAAAACGGACCTTTATGCAAAGGTTTCTGAACCCCAGGGAATTTCAGTGCTGAATAACTTTTACCAAGGCTTCAAACATTAATTACGGTAGTTTGTTTATTTCCCCAAGTAAAAGGTTGTTTACAGTCTGTCACAGTCATTAGGAAAGGCCCAGGGGACAGGAATTCAAAGCTTTAGAAATGCTCTGACTCCTTAAGTCTTGTCCCAACAATAAGCCATGGACCTCTGGCACTCTGCATGCTGAAGGAACTGATGCCCATTAAGCAAGAATATGCCATAAAATAAAATAAATGCACTACTAGAAAGATGTTCTTTTAGGCTGGGAGGTAACTGAGAAACTGCAGGAGACGGGATCACTAAAACGATGAATCAAAACCAATGTATCAACTGTACACTGGAGACTTTAGGGAAGATGTACAATAAGAATTTAGAGTGGGGATGCATAATTCTGATGCGTGATACCGACCTCTATGCTAAAACCTAAGAATAAGCATTACAAAAGCAATGTATGGACATAAGAAGTTCTCAGAAGGACATATTTTCAAATAAAAAACAAGAACTTAAAGATTTTTAGCTAAATGCAAAGAGCTGTAATAAATTATTGCATCAGTAAATGCTGTGTGAACTCAAAGGTAAACTCCAGTATGATTTTACTTTAAAAAAAATTGGGCAGAATAAAATTTATTACGCAGTTTTTTTAAATGTAATTCAATTCTTTGCCAAAACCAATCAATATGATCACAAAAAGAATGTAACATGCAGGACTCAACATTTGTGAGATAAAAGGCAAAAGAATGACAGAAATGCTTGCTGTACTTCAATAAAAAGCCACAAAGAGTCGTATAAATGTAAATCAGGACAGGAGTGGGCTGAGAGGAAACGGATACTCACAGAGATTTTGTGCAATCTTGGGATCGAGCACCTTGAGCTCTTTAATTCTCTTCTTTATGGATTTCTTATCCTCCAGATCCTCCTCTTCTTTTTTAGCTGAGGAAGACAGAAATACTGAAGTATTATACAAAGACAAAATTTACACAAATTCATGCACTTACTGTAGTGCTGACATAAGGACGACGAGCAGAAACTAAAGGATAAAGGAGAACAACTTTGCTGTGATTATCAAGGTGTTAAATAATAAAAATGGACCAGGATGAAAACGTTTCTAAAATTAATTTCATTGGAAACTTATTGGCCTCTCCTTGGGCTGCTACCTCATCGTGGTGGAGGGGTTTGAGTGTCCCAATGATCCTAGGAGCTATGCTGTCTGGGGCTTTATGCCCCTGGTA